TTCGCTGGCTTCCGTGATATTCACAACATGGTTTCACAGTTTGGTGTATAAATAAACTTGTCAAGGCGAACAAGCGGAAGAAAATTTTTCAAAATTATATTTGTTTATTTTGTATAATAAAAGTCCTTTATTATTATTAAAGACAGAAAAATAATTAAACTGCCAATATTCAAATTGTGTTTATCATATCTTCATCATATCTTTTTGAACATTTTCTTGTTCTTATCCAAAACCAGAGAAGGCATTAATTTAGTACTCCATTCATTTTTAAGGGAAGTCACAAAATTTCGTTCGTTACCCGCAAATACGCTGCAAATACGGTCGAAATGAATCCTTTTCAGTATATTGTGCGCCTAAAATAACGGCCTTGAAATACGCAAAAAATGCTACGTTGCCATTTTACTACCTCGTAGGAAGCCATAAAGTAATACAACTAAACATACTGTGAAGTCCTAACGTATGGTTTACCGCGGAGAGTCAAAGGGAAGTCAATACATGCGACAGACATACCAAGATTACATTGCGAATTGCGATGCGAGCGCCAATGATCTACGCCTGAACTAAAATTGATAATGTACGGATAAATCGTCGACCTTGGGACTTCATCAGAAAATTTTGCAGGAACGTTGCTAAGGCCCTCAAGGTCATACTGGCAAAGTTTTACATAGCAAACGTTGTGACTTCCGAAATCGGAAGTCTCCACGTTGTAGATGAAGTCACATCGTTAATTGAGTATGTATTTTGGAAGTTGTAGAGTACGTTTATCAATATATATATATATATATATATATATATATATATATATATATATATATATATATATATATATATATATATATATATATATATATATATATATATATATATATATATATATATATATATATATATATATATATATATATATATATATATATATATATATAGTTTGGTTAGTCATCGCGACTAACCAAACTAACCAAAATGGGTCGTCGCGACCCTGAGGTTAATTTAAAGCGGACTGTAATTTTTTTTAAGCAGAGCCCGCAAGACGTGGTCGTGAGGGTAGAGACGGCACTAACCTCTTGTCGCTGCTGTCTCGCTGGACTGGGGCCCCAATAGCAGCTCCTCTTCGGTCTTGAGGATCACCGTCTCGGTCCGGTGGAGGTGGTTTACACGCACACGCAATGCGGAGGGAGACAATAGTTTCTTTCTTTTGGGGGTTCAACACTATCGGCGTGCTATCGATGCCAAGTTCGAACGCGACCGACATTAAGCACGACAGAATATCAGGCTTGAATAACTTCCCTCCTTCTACAGCATCCTGGCTTTAGTTGGCACAGCAGCTGAATTGTATGCAGCCCTATAATTAGAGAACAGTATGTCTAGATCAGTTTTCTCATTGCCTTCTTATGTAGGATGTCATCCAAGAATACAGCCACAGCAAAAGTAATCACATGAATATTCTCATTTAGTGATACTGCTTCGGGGGGAATTGTGGCAGGAAACATGGGGCACACAATGGCAGCTGAAATTGTCTCTGGCATGCCAACATCTGCCATCTTGACTACCTGCTTTGCTAACCCCTCATTGAAAATATCACAAAATATTGTTGGGAAGCAGGCAGTTAGTCTGGGAACCGTGATGATATCTGGCCCAAGGGTTCTCTTCGATGGGTTAGCATCTGTGTTGATCACATACTTCTCTTTCAGCCAATCTAGGATAGTGTTGGTTGTTGAATTGGATTTCTCTACAATTTTATCCCAAGAGCATCCTCTATTTGCAAACATGAACAGGAGAAAATGGAGGTCTTCAGACATCGATCTCTTGTTGTCATATTGGAACTTTTGAGGCTTGCCCCCCAGGGTTATATCCATGCTGGTGCTGAGAATCTCAGTAACTTCCAGGTATTTCTTATAGTTGGCTCTTGCTAATGTAAGGATTCTCATCACATCAAACCCTTGGTAAATTATCACTTCCTTAATGAGTTGCAGAGCTGGCAGGTTCAACTTCCCAAGGTTTGAGGACTCCTTGTCAGTCAGCCATTCTCCAATTTCAGCATCCTGCCTATACTGGAAAACAATTACATCCCCATGTCGGTGTTCAACACAATTTGGACAATTTTTTACGAGGTTTTCGATCTGTGTTGATAGACCTATCCACCACACGCTCATTTTAGCACGTTCACGGCATTTAACAATACCCAAATGACCGGTGTGAATAAACTCGAGAACTTTTAATTGTAAGCTGCTCGGGATTATTATTCGTTTCTCTTTTAATAACAAATTTTCACAATATGATATGTCATACCTATGCTCAAACGGCCATAAATATAATATGACAAAAAAATAACACTGCTCTATCGAGCCATTCCAGGGAGAATCAGCACTCGTTTGACTTTCAAAGCGTGAAAATTTTACGCTCAGAAAGGCACATAAAAAGACGGGAATTCTATGAAATGATTGAGATCCAAAAAAATCCAAACGCCATAAACTCTAAGGCTGAAAAATCTCAGCAAAATTTATCACAACTTAATTAAATAAAGAGACACATCAACCCGTGAATCTCACAAAATAAAAAGCTTTAGAAAAAAAAAACTCCGTTGTCCTACCGTGAAGAACCGTACATCCGGGCTTGGCATTATTGTTTTGGTTCGTCGTCTTATCAATGTGGCTTGTCGATTTACATATTCGATATGTCTGTTGTGAATGTTGTAAAACTGTAAATTACCAAACAAATATATAGTGAACCGTTGATTTTTGGCTTAAGGTATGTATGTAATCGTAATATAAAAAAATATGTATGTTTTATTGTTGTGCATCTATTTTTATACAATTTTTAATCACTTTGTTTGTTCTATTGACTTGCACTAGTAATTGACTCCTATACAAATTTTTATCTATGTTTTAATTATGACCAGGAAAACAATGCTATAAATAATTTTATTTAAAAATACATTTTTGTAGGTTAAAATTAAATGTCTGAAGAAGGTCTTGAAGGCCGAAACGTCACAAAAAATAAAATGTTTCACAAGTAACGGAAACTTATTTTAATTTTACTAAAAAAGGACCAAAAAAACCCAAGAACCATTTCTTAAGAATATATAAAATCAAAAGGATCCAAGAACTCACAAACTAGAAATATATATATATATATATATATATATATATATATATATATATATATATATATATATATATATACAGACCGCCTCCATATATAGATCGCCTCTGTATACGTACCGCCTTCGTATACGGACCGTCTTTGTATATGGACCGTCTTCATAGAAAGAACACTTTCATAAATAGATTGTTTTTACAAAGAAATTATATTTTTATATAAACAATCAATTTATCTTTTTTTTTTAAATACTCACTCTACTGCGCTTCGGTCGTGATTAAATTGTTTGAAATAATATTTTTATATTTAATTAATTTATATTTAATGAAATTAAATAAAACTGAAAATGAGATGTAAATGGAAATATCCATAAATTAAATATATTTTAAACATATGTTGTTTTAGACACTCTCTCCGCTGCGCTCCGCTTGTGACTAAACTGTTGAATATAATGTTTTTATATATAATTAATTTGTTTTGGTAAAAGAAAATTAAAATTGAAATAAAAATTTTTGGTACTAATGAAGTTTTAAATACATAATTTTCAGTTTATTATTATTATTAATTTAGATTTAATTATATTTAAAAAAATAAATAAAATGAAATGTGGCAAAAATTATTTTATACTAAAAATGTAAGTAAAAAGATTTCCTTATTCGTATAATATATATATATATATATATATATATATATATATATATATATATATATATATATATATATATATATCCCACTATCTTACAAGCGTCCGTACATTAACAATCTGCTATTTTCCGAGCGTCCGTCTACAACCGGGCGTCCATATATGGACGCCCGGTTGTAGCGCTATAGAAACAGTATACACAAGATCTAAGTAGTCTAAATTAACATTTTCAGGAAGACGCTACGATCATAGTAAACTGAATTTTCTTGTATATTGATAGTTCAACTGTATACCCGGTAGAGGCGCGAGACCCAGTCTCTGTATATTTTACAAGATATATTCTACTTTCAGCTAGTCGATTTCCAGGCGTCCTTTGCGGCTTTGTTACGTGGCAACACTGTCACTATTAACTTTTCCAGACTGGCACAAAATTGTGGGGTAACGGCTCTGCATCGCCTAGTTGTTTTGTTAGCTTGTAGAAACGGTGGAAATAGATAATTTTATTTCTTTTACAACAAATTAAGAAGTACGCTAAGTTGGAATTAACGGAAACGTAACACAAGTACACAAGACTTTTTTCCTATTAAAAAATTAAATAATTAATAAATGTTTATTCAAATTCATCATATTTATCATATCTATCAATCATAATTACATCCTAATGCCAATGCCGTACTCTTTATATGATGTTAGATGTTAATCATATTAGAATTTAAAACAATATTGTGTGATACACGTCGGGAAACTCTTTTGTTTCTCTTACTCTCTTCTTATCGAGACAATCCGCTCATTGCATAAACCTTTTCTTTTTTCAACAACTTGTGAACTCGCGTCGGTCAACAAACGCAATAACAACACCCAAGGCTCCAGGTGGGAATCAAACCTACAACCTGCTGCAAGTCAAGTTGGCAGGTCTAACGACTTACCAACCGAGCCATCCTCGATCACTTAAAAACAATTATTCTTTTTTTATTTAGTTGCACGAATTGCTATTTTTCGATTATTTAATTATTATTGTATTATATAAATCTTCAGCTCCATTAGGCAACATTATTAAAATAATATTTTAATTAAACAAAGTGGCACCAACAAGTTTTGTTTTTTTATATGCGAATATTATGCAATAACTTCAGATTTTTTTTTAATTTTTGGGTACATTTTTAGAATTATTACGTTCTTCCGATAATTTCTGCTAAATACTATTTAGAGCGGTGTTTGAAATTGTTCTATATGCCAATTTTTTTTTTTGTAAACCGTGATGCGGTACTTTTTCCTAGGGCTATCCACGGCAGTTACTTGCCGGGCAGCGTATTCTACGGAGTCGTGAGTAAAAGATTCCATTGTCGTGGTCGAACCAAACCGAACCAAAATATTATTTAAAATGTCGACTTTTCTTGGGAACCTTGATTCATTTGACTCGGAAAAGTCAGATTATGCAATTTTTTCCCAGAGACTTCAACAGTTTTTCGCCGCGAATGAGGATTAAAAATGGGAAACACTTCTAAACACATTAAACGAAGAATGTTACGTTTTGTTACGAAATTTGTGCGTGCCGAAAACGCCGCCGGAGCTGAAGTTTGAAGAGTTAGACAAGTTGTTATTAAAGCATTTTTCTCCCGTGCGTTCGTATTTTTCGGAAAGATCAAAATTTTACACAGCAAAAAAGGAGCCAAGTGAAAAAGTGTGTGATTGGGCGGCTCGCATAAAAAATTTTTTTGGGTTTGATGCCTCTATCACTCTCGACCAATTAATGAGGGATATATTCACGATTGGCTTAAATGATGTGCGTTTTAGTGACCGCTTATTTGAGGAAAATCCTCAAAGTAGCAAGTGCACCTTCCAGTTTATGGAAAAAATCGCCTTGTCAAAGGAATCTGCATTTTTTGACCACGAAAACCGCGCGTCGAAAGATACATCCACACAAATCAAGAGAGAACCAGAAGAGCTCTTTTATAACAATCAAAAACCAGGTATTTTTCATCGGAGCAGGGGTAAGTCAAATTCAAGGACCCCCCAAAAGGAACTAAGATCGAAAACATCAAGTTTCCACTCTTGTTCAGGTTGTGGCATTTCCAACCACAAATCGTCCGAGTGTGCCTACCGCAATTGTTTTTGTCATAAATGCGGAGTAAAAGGACATTTAGCACCCTTGTGTAAGCAGAATAACGTGGGTCAAAATTTTCTAAAAGACAACGCGCTCGAAGGTTTGGACGATAGCGACGATCCGTGCTTTATTATCAGTGATAAACCCTTGCAAGGTCCCACGAACATCACCCAGACGTCTGTACAAAATATGTTTCATAAGAAAACAGAAAATGTCCAAAGCAGTTCAATAAGTAACGAAAAACCTATTTTAATTAAATTAGAGATAGATAAAAATCAATTTAATTTTGAAGTGGACTCCGGTTTCGCCCACGCGGCAATTTCGGAAAAAATGTATAACAAACATTTTTAAAAATATCCGTTAATCAGCAATGATTTGCGTTTGAAAGATTATGTCTGTGTATCTTTTCAACCTTTGGGTTTTGTAAACTTAAAAATAACATATGATTGTCAAAATTACAACCTAAAAACATATGTAATTAAGAAGGCGGGCCACCCTTATTAGGTCGCAATGGTCTGAAAATGCTAAATATCGGGATTTGTAAATCAGTCGATAGCAATACCAGTTTATTATATGTAAATTCGGACGCCAAGTTGTAAAATTTATTAAAAAAGTTCGAACCAATATTCAGCAGTACGCTAGGTACACATTCAATAAGTTCAAGGTCACGCTAAAATTAAAAGAAAACGCCAGCCCAAATTTTTTTAAGCCTCGGCCGGTTCCAATAGCATTAAAACCGAAAATTGAGCAAGAACTGGACCGGCTAGTCAAAAACAAGGTGCTAGTGCCCACAGAATTTTCAAAGTGGGCAACACCTATCGTCCCAATATTAAAAAAAAACGGCGGTATAAGGATCCCCTAATTGGAATTTCAACAGTTTCCTCTTCCAAGAGTTGAATACTTATTTAGCCAACTAGAGGGGGGAATGAAATTTTCAAAAATCGACCTTTCAGAAGCGTATCAGCAAATTTTGCTCGACGATCAGTCCAAAGAGTTGGTTACCATCTCCACACATAAGGGGTTGTTTTCTTATCAAAGATTGCCTTTCGGTATACACTGCGCGCCCTCTATCTTCCAAATAATCATGGAGCAATTATTTAATATTCCTGGCGTTATATCATTCCTAGAGGACATTCTGGTGACCGGGAGAAACGATCTTGAGCATTTGGAACGATTAGAACAAGTCTTTCAAAAATTATCGGAATGTGGCTTCCAATTAAAAAAAGAAAAATGTAGTTTCATGCAAGAATCTTTGACTTACATGGGTCATTTAATTGACAGGTTCGGCTTGCACAAAACCGATGAGAGGGTCGAAGCAGTGGTCAAAACCAAGGTACCTTCCAATATCACAGAACTTAAGTCATTTCTCGGGGGCGTCAATTATTATGCTAAATTCTTACCGCACGGGTCGTCCATCCTTTATCCTTTATACATTTTATAAAAAAAAAACATCCCTTGGGAATGGACACCGGCTTGCCAAAATAGCTTCGATAAAATCAAGGATATATTAGTTTCTCCATCTGTGCTGGCCCATTTTGACCCAAAATTACCTATCAAATTATTGTTAGATGAAACCAGTATAGGTCTAGCGGCAATAATTAGTCATACCTACACAGAGGGAACTGAGTGACCCGTCGCGTTCGCTTCAAGGTTGCTAAATAAAAACGAACTCTCCTATTCCCAATTCGAAAAAGAGGCTCTAGCAATAATATTCGGGGTCAAAAAGTTCTTCCAATACCTTTACGGCATCAAGTTCACACTGTACACAGACCATAAACCTCTTTTGGCAATACTGGGCGACAAAAAAGGGTTGCGAGTTTTTGCAGCCAACCGCCTACAAAGATGGGCATACATTCTATCTTCATTCCGTTTCGAAATTAAGTATGTCAATACCAAACAAAACTACTCAGATTTCCTATCTCGGTTAGGGGGAAACACTAAAAATATGTTTCACCATGCCAGCAATCCGTTACTATTCGACTCGTGGAAACAAGATCAAATTTCATATTTAAATTACATCGAAAATTCATAATTCCCAGTTAATTTCCAAAAGATTAAAGAACAAACCTCAAAAGATGTCGTTTTGAGCAAAATTCTATTTTTTGTTCGAAACGGTTGGCCACAAACGTGCCCCTCTACAGATTTTAAACCTTATTTTCTTAAAAAACATGAAATTTCTGTAGAACATGGTTGTTGTTTAATGTGGGGTTACCGTCTAATTGTGCCTTCAGTCTCCTATGACAGTATTTTGGGGGAATTACATTTAACTCATACCGGAATCGTTAAAATGAAAGCCTTGGCGCGTTCATTTTAACGAAACCTTCTTTAATTATGTGGGATACTCCTAAAGAACCATGGACTCGTGTTCACGCTCACTTTTTCGGACCATTTTTAAATAAAACATTTTTAGTAATCGAAGATGCCACTTCAAAATGGCTAGAATGTTTCATAGTCTCAGACATGTCTTCTGCACAAACCATAAAAATCTTCAGAGCTCTATTTGCTCGTTTTGGTCTCCCAAAAGAAGTTTCCACCGATAATGGTCAGATTTTTATGTCCGAGAGTAGATATATAGTGCCGATAAAAGCAACAGAAACCGTACATAACCTCAATTTCCTAACCCCCCCGCAGCGGGGGCCCCTCGTCGAAACACGCAGGCAACACGTCTCATGATAACGAAATAGTTTCAATCGTTGAAGAGCTAAAAGAATCAGGTTTTATACGTTAGTTTAACGATGAGTCTGGACAAGTTTGGACGTTCTAGCGCGCTGCGCTCTAAACGACCCTTCACTAATACTGTGATTAGAAGCGCCCTCGATTATATGCCAGACGGAAACGTCAATATGAACAATTTAAAAATTTGCAATGTCCAAACGCCTAGCGACGACGGTGACGTGGCTAACAAAAAATATGTGGATGAGACAAGTAATTTATTAAAAATTGCATTGAGAAAGATTATTGGACAGAAACTCGAAGCGTACACGAAAAGATTACAAATTGAAGACAAAACTAAATTCTCGCGTCTTGAAGAACAACTGAAAATGAGTAGCACTACACTCGAAAATGAAATTATGCAGTTTCGCGAAGTTTTCCACCAAAAGTTAAGCGAAATGAGCGCAAAGAAAAATTTGGAAAAGCACATGACAAAAGTCGCCGTTTTGTCACAGCAATTTCATGATATTGTAACCAAAATGGAGCGACTTACGAACGAAAATGAGAATATAATGAAGGTATTGAAACAAAGGGTTTTAAATCCTCCATCGCAACCGAACACACATTATGAATAAAGAAAAGGTACAACTGGTTCGAGAACTGCACAAGCCGGCACGCAGAAATTATGCTCGCCGCCGGACTATAATACGAGGGATGGATGACCTGTGGCAAGCGGATCTGGCCCAATTAGATCGCTACAGCAAACAAAACAGAAATTTTAAATTCGTGCTGGTTGTGATAGACTGTTTCTCAAAATATGTATGGTGTCGCCCGTTGAAAACCAAAACCGGGGTCGAAGTCGCCAAGGCGTTTTCCAAAATTCTCAACGACGGACGGCACCCTCAAAACTTGCAAACGGATCTCGGTAAAGAATTTTACAACGACACGTTTCTGAAACTTGTGGATAAGCATAAAATTAACCACTATAGTACGTATAGCACAAAAAAGGCCTCAATTGTCGAACGGGTGATACGTACCCTCAAAGAGAAATTGTTTCGACATTTTTCTTTACGCGGGACGTACAAATGGATCGATGTGCTCGCCTCTATCGTTGATGAATACAATAACACAAAACATAGAACGACGGGTACGAAACCCATCGATGTGAGTAAGAGCAATGAAAAGAGAATTTTGAAAACCGCGTATAGTAGCATAAAAATATTCGGTCCTCGTAAACTTAAAGTCGGCGACATCGTTAGAATCAGCAAAGTCAAGCACGTGTTTAACAAAGGTTATACACCGAATTGGACCACGGAATTGTTTAAAATTGTTAAAGTACGGGTTACTAACCCCGTAACGTATTTGCTTCAAGATATGCAGGGTAAACCCATAATGGGCGGATTTTATGAAGAAGAATTGCGGACTTATATCTCGTCGAAAAGGTGTTGCGCAGACGAGGCAATATGGTTCTCGTGCGCTGGTTGGGATTGGATAAGTCGCACGATTCGTGGGTAGACAACGTAGACGTTTTGAAATAAATTTAGTCTCGATTTAGAAGTTCTGACATAAATACGTGTATATGATGGCTCAAGAGCAAATTGTGACATCCAACGAATTGTATAATTTATTGGAAAATTTCGAGTTGCAATTTCCTTCATCAGAAGTGCTCCCGTCCAGCTTCGTTCCTGTAGAGCAACAAACCAAAAAATCTGCGACAAAACGAAAACAAAGTGCGTCGGTCGTATCCCGCAAGAAGAAGAAGAAAACTAAAACAAGTGAAGCGTTTGCAGCTCCAACGTCATCCGCTGATTGGCTCGAAGTGTTCACGGACGGTAGAGAAAAAAGTGTCATTTGTGAGGCATTCAATTTAAAAAGAAACTTGGCGTCTCAGTTGTCGGGATTAGAGTGCAATATCAACGAAATTGAAACACAAATTGCGCTTTTTAATACAGACTTGCAAGTGGCGCGGCTGCAAGCGCAAAAGTGCAAAAGAAAACTAGAACAATTTAATAATTTAGCATTTAACGAAATTGTAAAATAGTAATAATGTATATAATAAATAAATTATACAATTACAAACTTCTGTGTAATTATTATGCGGTGTTGTGGTGGTGGTAAAAAAGAAAATAGCGTCTAAATATATACATGTTTATTCTTGTTGCAATACAATGGAATACAATCAATACATAAAAGCCTTATCTACAGTTATATATTTTATAATAAAACCACAGTATTAATAGTTCAGTGTGCTATCAGAAAAGCGTAACTTTTTTCCATATTTCCTCTCATCGTGAAGCATTAAATTACATACATCTTCAGTTTCTACAGTGAACAAAACTTCTTCAAAGCAGCTTTGACACCAAAATTGTTTATCGTGATATACATCATTCAAATTGTTTATATCCAGCTGTAAATGATAGTGATCCAATAAAAGTCAAAAATTTTCCTTTTTAAATTTTTTAACTACTTGAAATATAAAGTGACAAGATTTACAAACTAAAATTTCGGAATATTTTATCCTGTAATAACTGACCCATAAACAGTAAGCGGATTCTCCGTCAAAATCAATGGTTGGAGTTGCCAAAATGCTATTTCTGTAAGACGATCCAAATCTCTTATTCCACAGAATGAATTCTAAATTTAATAAAGAATTGCCATCAGACTGGAGCGCTAGTTGTTTAAGGTACCTCCATCTATATTTCGAATAATATTTAAATATTAGTATCGTTAGTTTCCAAGGCAAAGGTGACTCAAGCAAAAAATCAGCACTACACCTAATATTTTCGCAAATTGTTATAATACAAAGGCTTTCTAATGTAAGTTGTTTGACCATAATCTGTAACAAAAATATATTAAAAAATAATTACGGCACTTTATAATGTCCCCACGGAAGCGTTTCATATGAATTCGGCAAAAGATAACGTTTATCGTCTAAAGGACTCAAGGCAACTTTTGTTTGTTCGATGCTAAATACATTGTGAGTGTATGAACGAATGGTTCGTTGAGTGGCGTACTTTTCCCTAAAATTTGTTAAGCATTCTACGTAGTCATCAAATGAAATTTTATTTTTTACAATATTGTACTGAATACCCTTTGACTTTTTAACTACCGAACCCGTTAAAATTTTGAAAGTATACATTTTCGACCTTAACCCCGCATAATGACTAATGATGGTGCCATTAGTCTCATCCTTCATCAACCCCAAAACCTTTTTGTTGATTTGCGGTATATTATAGGGATTGTCATTAGGATAATCAGACGTGTCAAATTTTGTTAAATCGGCCTTAATAACGCTTTCATATGCGTCATAACATTTGATATTATAAATGAAACTGTCCGTATCCATGTATTGAATTTTACATTTTTCGGGACCCAAATTTGGAAGCATGCAATTATAATGAAACTCGTACATGGTCGTTTTCGACAAATCCAATATGGACATTCCAATATAAAGTGGCTTATTAAAGCAAAGTTCCGATTTTTTTAATTCTATAAGCAACAAATTGTTATCAAGTATGGTTCTACTGTGAAATCTAGGACTAGAAATTAAATTTTTCGCACCGTAGCGACCATCCCACTCTTTAACAAATTTAACAATACGATGCTTGCGAATGTTTTCCATTGTTTTACCGTAAGCGGCATTATTAAACAATTTGTATAAATTTATACCAAATTTTGTCTTTGCTTGGGTTCTTAATTTATTATTATGATCGATATAACATTTCAACCAACGAGATTGGTTAAATTTTAATATTTTGTGAATTTTCTTTAGTACGAGACCGTTTTTGAGAGCCTGTTTTAAATTGCGATAGTGTATGACGTATTTTTCTTTATTATACAAAGTAGTCATTAGTTTTGGTAACTTTGAATTGGGGGGCACTCGATGTTCGGCACAAAATGGAAAATCTCTATGTGTGTCATGTAATTTCTGCGGGTATTCCAGGTCTACCTCTAGGATATATCCTTGGGAAGATTCATCTGGAATGTTCATGACATTAAATGAATCAATCTCTTGATGAGACATCCAGTCGAATCCTCCGTAAGGAAGGGGCTCGCACATGGCCTTGCCATAGAGGTTATTGACGTCAAAGTACATGATATAGGAATCATCCCTGGATGAATCGTAGTTGGGCATATATTTATTGTTGGCCTCCGCATATCTACCAACACACACCGAAATTCCACCTCGTATAGCCCGCTCGATAAACATAATTTGGTCAATGTCGCGCAAAAGTTCTAAACGACATTTTGTGAATCTAAGCATGCAATCCCATGTATACCCGGGCATACTGAAATACCACGCCGGATCCAAAACGTGTGTTGCCATACAAGTTTTTCGAAAATTTTCGAATATATCTGCCAGAAGAATAACGTCGGTTTTTAAATACAAATCTGAATACTCGCCTAAATTTTTTATTTCAAACGACTGCCAAACACTTTGTGCGTGGGAATATTTTTCTTCACTAATATTGCTTTCACTTAATTTATTATAGAATTCTTCAATCGGGGGTAAAGTTGTTTCATTTAATTTGTCTATATGGTCGATGTAATCGTAACAAAAAATACCTTTTTGCGACAGTAAATTTAATTTTGATTCGTCGAGATCGGAAAATTCTTTTCTTAAAATATATAGTTCATTTTTATCCATACTGGAAACTAAATTATCCAGAGATGCTCCCAAAAATCTAAACGAATCTATAAATCTAAATTTTATGTTATAATCAGGTTCGAAATATGTAAAAGAGATGTATTTTTCCTTATTAACCGGAACTATGGATACATAGCTTTTTTTTGCTAAAACCGGAAGCAGGAAGTGGCTATCATATCCAGAAAGGTTCTGGAATACTACGGACACTACAAATATTTTTTTAAAATTTAAATTACAAGCCTGATGGGAAAAACCTCTAAATTTACCAGTAAAATGATCATGGTCACGAACAATAACATCTTCTTTTAAAAAAGGTTTTTCACAAATATGACAATGACTCGACCTTTGATCTAGACTAATTTCACTATCCATTGGTATAATATCCTTAAATTTTGAACGAACAAATTTTGATAAATTAGATATTTCCTCCACGAACCAATCAATACAATCTAGACCACGATAACTTTTGAAAAATGATATTGAATCATCATAAGAACATTTAAAGTAATATGCAGCACTGTAAGCTTCGTGCTTTTGGTATTTCGAGGTTTTATCTGAAATTTTCAAATTTACTTTTCTCAATTGACTCTCAAAATCGGCGTAAATTACAAACGGAGTCCTTTGTTTATATATATGGTTTCGAAATTCAACGTAATCATATTTGGGAAAAGACACTTTATACTCATTGAAACTGGAACATATTGTTTCGTGGTCATGTAGACGAGTTTCGTTATTGAAATAATTCAAACACCTATCGCAAATGTATTTCTTGTGATTATATTTACTGAGCTGTGAGGAAACTAATCGAGACAAATTTTTAATGTAACAATAGTGATATTTTATTTCTTCATGATCATTATCTTGCGGATCAGGATCAAAATCATTAACTTTTGGATAATATTTATTTTCTATTAACAACAAATTTGAATGTTTTTCGCGTGTTTCTTTAGTTAATCGTGCAGGTAGCACGGAATAAAAACTAGTTTTTTCATTTTTATTGAACTCTAAGATATAAACATTGATGGAAATATCATTGTCTTTTTCAAATTTGCTAATTTTATTCATTTCCATAGGTGTTTGTAAATTTTCAGTTTTCAAAACACTTTTGTAGTATGGATATGAGGAGGGTAAATACTGACGAAAACGTGCTGGAAAGAGTCCGCATACAACTGACCAAAAAAACACGCTTGATCGTCATTTCTAATATTAATACAAGCCCTTTTATTTGCAATTTCTTTAGGCAACTCAACGAAGGATGATCCGTTACCCATTTCAAATTTATTAATGTTAATCTCTAAATAAATAATATTATTTAAAGCCCACCCGGAATCACGTTCCTGAAACTCTGACATTTGATTTAAAATTTTATCTTGCACATTTTCAACAAACCAATCATTCAATTCTGTTCCTAAATCAACTACAGCATTTCCGGTACTCAGATATTTAACATCAACTTCGCCTTGGACATCATTTTTTGTCTTAATAAATTCACCGCAAAATGTGGTATTTACTTTCAGCAATAAAAATTTCTTTAAAATTTGACTAATTTTTTGTTGAAATATTGGACGACAATCGTTTAAAAATTGAATTAAATCTTTATGAAGTAAATTAATTATGACACCGGTCTGAACTCTTCCCTGGAAACACGACGCTACCGATTCCCATACAACCATTTCATTTGTGTTTGTCTCGCGGCTACTACTTTGTAATCCCAATCCAAAATGCTTATGTTGATAATTAAGAATAATTTTTCTAATAGCTTTCAGATGTTGAATTGTAGTTTGTAATTTTCTTTTTAACCCAATAGATAAATCCTTTTCGTTAGAAACGATTTGGTTGCAAGATTCAATATTTTTATTTAGTCTCCTAAGCCACACATCACTATCTCTAAGAGTGAACTTGTCGGAAATATGCTTTTTTAATTTTTGTAAGGTTAAAATTAAGATTTGCGCTCTATGAATGATCTGCTTTACGCGCATCGTGGTTTATTAAATATATAACAGTAAATAAGACTTACCCTGTATAATATGTTGATTAATTTTGAATTATTTTGAATTTCTTTAAAGAGTTGGGCTTTCCAATATCTTTGGATCCCTCGTAGACCAGTTTGTACTGCCCCGACGCAAAGTGTTCTAGTCTCGGACGGAAAGCTTCTGTCACGCGAGTAGGAAGAAACACTACGGAATTTTCTAATTGCAGCAACACGGAATTGCCAAATTTTGTATTAACAATTTTGGCTCTAGTAATTTTAAACGGAACGCCTATCGGCAATTCATGCAGTTTGACAATCGGCTGCTCAAAATCACCTTCTGCAAGACAGGTTTGATTCAGTTGACTTAACTCTATCTATAAATTATTATTAATTATTTTATCTCAAAATAAAAAAAATAAAAAAAACTTACGCTTAAGATTGCTGCTATTCTATTTGCGGTTACGGGTTGAGAGTACTAAGATGATCTTTAAGACCTTTATAAAATAATAACAAATGTTAAAGAATTAAAATAAAACAATAAAAAAGGTACTTACTGCTTTTTTGTACTAACACCAAACCACTAAGTTAGCTTCCACGTTGCACGAATAATACCAAAAACAACTACTGACAAAATAGAGAAAAATGAGATGTATTTATACGGTGCGAGAATACTTTCTAAAAGTTAACAAACGAAGACACCTCCACATGCGTTGCAACAAATTTTTCCCATTACGTTAATCCCACGGAGCAAATATAAACGGGCAATTAATTATTATTCTTAACAAGCAAAACAACTTGACATTTAGACTCGGCGCGTTTTGAAATTCCACATCCCATACGGAGATTGTAAAAAATGAAAGCAAGTTGGCCTTGATCTTTTGCGGCAACATACGTTCGTCCAACGTCCGAAGCGGTTGCGTTCCCGTGTGAAAGCGTGTTGACCCTGAGACTCCTACCTGCACGGTTGTCTGGCGACAACATCGCGTCTATTCAAATCGGCATTGGTGCTTGTGGGTAGGAGACATTTCGACTTTTAATTCAACCATGGAAGGGAGTGCATGTGTATAAATACGTTGCAGGTGTATTATAGACTATATTCAGTGCAATGAATACAGAAGTGCGATGTCCATTTCCCTACGACCCTACAACTGGTAAGTTTTATATTTTAATTACCTTTATACAGTGCGCGTCTTTTCTTGTGGGTTTCAGTTTGGGTTATCACTTTTTTGGTTAGTTTCTACCTGTTTTTAAAATATGATACTCATCTTTTTTACGTTGCATAATAACCGATTTAAATTGAGTGTTTTTAATATCTTTTAAATGACAGTGAATGGAAAAGGGAATTTTGGCTTTTAAAAAATAAACAATTTTTAAATTTGTTTCAAAAATGTGCGTTTTATGGGGAAAACGCGAAATATGTTTTATTTTTTGTACTAAAAAATTGCAGTTTGCTTTTTTGACAATAATAATCGAATTAAATTGAGCGTTTTTAATATCTTTTAAATGACAGCGAATAGGGAATTTTAACTTTTAAAAAATAAACAATTTTTAAAATTATTTGATGACCCCCACTTACTGAAAGTTTTGTTTCAAAAATGTGCGTTTTATGGGGAAAACGCGAAATATATACATATTTTTGTTTATTTTTTGTACTAAAAAATTGCAGTTTGCCCTTTTGACAATAATACACTTACATTTAAATGACAGTGAATTGAAACGTGAATTTTGGTATGCGCGTATAACTTAAAAAACAATTTTTAAAATAATTTGATAACCCCCCTTTTTGGAATTTTTGTTTAAAAAAAATGTGTGTTTTATAGGAAACGCTACATATCATACTTTGTTTTGTTCTAGAAAAAATCGCGGTTTGTCCGTATGACAAGTCGCATATTATGTTGGCGCATCGCTTAGGGCGTCACATATTCAAATCACACAAAGAGTACCGGGGATTAGAATTCCCGGTACGACATGAAACGACAAGGGAACATCACCAGCAGCAGGAGGAACCCGGTGGATCAAAAGAAACAAAGGAGCAGCAGGAGTACCCGGGTGGGTGGTCGACGGAGTGGGACGGCGAGGAGTGCACTTCGTATTTAGATTTCCTCCCGGGAACGGGAAGAAGAACAACGCAAGGAACAGGAACAATGGGATGGTCGACTGAATCGACATAAAAAGAAGAAGAAACTCCTCGCCAGACCAATTTTATAAATAAAATAAAATAAAATATATGAAAATTCAAGTTTATTTAATTATCCTCCCGATCCACCGCGTCACCGCGCCGCACCGTCACCGCCCTCTACCGGGGGAGCCTACGATGGTCGGAGCGCGCGACATCTAGCAGCGACGGGCGGAACCGGGGCAAAACAGGACGCTACACAAGCTGGGTGGGGGGCGGAGCGCACTCTGGTAGACAGGGGGGACACTAGGACGCCACGCGCGGGGGGCCCTCGCTGCGCGGGGGTTAGGAAATTGAGGTTATGTACGGTTTCTGTTGCTTATATCGGCACTATATATCTACTTCCGAGGAATTCCAAAATTTTTTGGCAAGTTTGGGGATCATTCACAAAGCGGGTGCTCCATATCATCCGGAAACGAACGGGCTGGCCGAATCAGGCGTCAAAATTGCAAAAAGAGCGTTACGCAAAGGATATGCGGATGGGGTGACCGATTTACAACTTATTTTAGATGCTTTTCTTTTTCAATACCGCAATACACCGCACACTACGACCCAAGAATGTCCAGCAAAAATGCTTTTTGGTCGCTTTTTACGCACTAGATTTGATTTAATTTTACCTTCGACCGAAAATATTGTAAAAGAAAAACAAAACAAAATAGAACTTAAGCGCAAAAAGGGGAACTGTCATTTTCAATTGGGGAGAAAGTATGGACCCGTCCAAATACGGATAAAAGCAAAACGTGGTTGAGTTGGTCGGTGGAGTCACATGGAAAAGACATTCAAGTCAGTTAAAAAAGTATCATTGTAACGACAAGTCTTGCCCCAGCAAGGAAAACTCCATGACAGCCCCAAATAAAAAAAACTCCTCCACCTTCCAACATAACAAGAAACAGATCAAGTAATACTGTAACGTTAGTTAGGTCTAGCGATAGCGAAACATCGGACTCAGAAAGTGAAGACATTATCTCACCCAGTGAAAACAACCCCAGCGACAATGAAGTCCCAAGTGACCACGGTGCGCGTGTGCTTCGTAGACGTAGTAAGATTAACCCTCCAGATCGTTTACAAGTCGCCCAGTAAACGTGACACATATCTAAATGCAAATGTACATAAACACCACTAGAGTTAAGTTAGTTTCAGTTTATTATAGGGGGAAGGTGTTCTATATGCGAGTTTTTTTATATCGCAGTTTAGTTTAGGTTTTTTTGTAAACCGTGATGCGGTACGTTTTCCTAGGGCTATCCACGGCAGTTACTTGCCGGGCCGCGTATTGTACGGAGTCGTGAGTAAACGGTTGCATTGTCGTGGTCGAGTTTCATTTCACGTTAAATGAATACATAACAGAAATATTAAAAATATCGAATATAAATAATTATATTATAGAAGTATTTAATATAAATGGTTGTCTAATGCAATAGGAAAAGAAGTTGTTGGAATTTGCAAATTAAAATATCGTTTGCTAAATACTTATCTAAATAATTGCGTAATAAAGTATTTTGATTTTATCGTCTAATAATATTATATTAATATTAATTATTGTCCGCAACATATAAAAACTATTTAAAACTATTTTATTGAACGATTTAATTTCTTGACTTTTGCTTTTAATCAAACCAAAATAAATTTTAAAAGTAACGTTTCCTAAACGTAAGTCGTAACAATGTTTTTCTAAATTTACTCTCAAAGCGCATACCTAGTGCAGACCTCTGAACTAAAGTATCTTTTTAGGTGATTTTCGATATATCTATAAACTTTTGCCTCGAGATAAAAAGTGTCTCTTTAGTTCCTTAGATACCATCTAATTTTTTTCCCAAATTCATTTTAAAAGAAAACACTTTCAAATTCCTGCTCTAAAATACCTATTATTCAGTGTGGCTTAAAGACGTTACCTAGGGCTCGAGCCACTTCGGATATTTCCGGTGATATATTAGCCTGCGCTTTAATTCTGGTGGTAAAACTACACATATAGTATGCAACACCTTGTTGTAAACTTCTTTAGTCACTCATTTATTAAGCACTCGCTCCGTTCGTGTCAAATAAACCAATATGGCGTTTATCAAACTTGTTTAGCAAAGATTTCTGAAGATTCTTTTTAAAGGAAACTTTCACAGAATAATGTAAGACCATTTACAAATATTCTGCATTCTACCTGCGTCGGTGGTTGATAAAACTGACGTTTCGCAACCATCTTGGAGATCTCACAGCTGGTCCTGTTCATAAATTTGACCGTTACAAGAAAAGTATGTTCCAGTCAAGCATTTTTCAATTCGGTTGAGTAGGTTTGGTTCCAGATTCCCGAATTGCAATATATCTGAAAGAGCTATATCAAAACTAACCAGAGAAATAGAACAAAAAATATACGACTATGACAAATAAAGTCATGAGCAGTTGGCGAAAACAATAATGAAATCGAAATCTCATTCGATCAAATTTAAAATTAATCAATGTAATCAATTCTTCTACGAGTGAAATATCCGAAAATCCATAGAAATCTCTAAACAACCAAACAACCTTAACCGCGTCTGTCTTTCACCAATATGGAAATCAGAGACAATGTTCATGTCCCTCCTTTAGCTCTCTCTCTAAAAGAGTATATAATGGGTTCAGAATGGAATGTGAGAAAGCTTCACTTTAGCTCTGAAGAAGCCATCAGGATGAGTGGCGAAACGTCAGCAAACGTCGACAAACGATGATCTATAAATAGCATTCTGAAGAAAATGTTAATTTTGACGAGTAACGAATGCCTCTCTCATCGCAGTTGTCTGTGTTCTTTATAATTTTATATAAATTTAAAAAATGCTTATTTTTATTAAAACTAAAATAGTAACCTCTAATTATTCCTCCTAAATTTTCCAAATAACTAACATCGGCCCATTTTAGACCAACATTAAACACACAAAACACAGTAATATGATGCCTCGGTTGGCCTCGTAAAAGAAAATAATTGAAAATGATATTAATTTCTAAATTAACAAGTTTTTCTTAATTCGGTACAATAATTTATTGATCTGCAAATAAGTCAACCGTCAAGAACTTAGAAAACAATTTAAAAAAATTATATTTAAATATTAGTGTTAATTTTTAACAAAACTTCTGGATTCCTCCTGCGTCGGTTTTTGCTGGGTCGAAATTGCTGACATTTCGCCAATCATCCTGTTGGCTTCTTCAGAGCTTGACTGAAATCCAGAAGTCGCGGTTAAGATTGTTAGGGTGTTTATAGATTTCTATAGATTCTCGGATTTTTCGTTGGTAGGAGAATTGATACATGCAAGAATTTTAGTTTTATCCAATAAAATTTTATATCTGGTTTCGTGATTGTGTTCGGCAACAGCTGATGGGTTTATTTGTCTTAGTCGTAAAGTTCTTTCGTTTTCTTTGAGCCTCGTTAATATTTTTCGACCGATTTCTCCAATGCATTCTTTGCCGCATGTGCATGGAATGCTATAAACTGCTGGCATCTCAAATTTAATTTTATCTTTGACGGACCGAAGGTGTCGAGAGATTTTGGACTTCTTTAGAACTTTTGATATGTGGTCAGTCATATTTTGAATGTAAATCGCCAGTGTAGGATTGCTTTCGGCCTGATTGCTATTGGAAGGTTGTAGTGAAGTGTATATCGAACGCTTAATATCTTTAATGTGGGAATTATTAGAGAGAAGAGCAGAGAAAGAGGTTGAATTAATGTTTTAATTCTGGGTTCAGTGGCTCGGGCTGAGATAGTTTTACTGCTCTGTCAACAAGAGAGGTGTTGATGTAACATTCGTGTCGGGCGCGCATCATGGAGCAGCAGCAGCAGCAAATATCGCTCCCCGAAGAGTTCTACGAATTTTTAACGAGCTACGACATACATTATACGACGCCACCGCCACCACCACCACCACCACCACCGGAAGAACAACAACAACAAGTAAGAAAACCGTCAAAACGGCGTCGTAGTGCGACGACACTCCCAAAGCCTCGCAAAAAAAAAGAAATAGCGAAGAAACGGTTCAGCAGCAGCAGCAGCATACCGGCTCATCCTCCTCCTCCTCCTCCTCCTCCGGTTGGTTCGATACGTTTATCGACGACGAAGAAAGAAGGGTGGTATGCGAAGCGTTCCAGTTGAAAATGGCTTTAGAGTCGCAGCTGGTGCGAAACGAGGACCGGATCAAAGAGACTGAAACTAAAATTGCCCTGCTGCAGAGCGAGTTACAAGTGGCGCGCCTTCACTCCGACGAATGCAGAAAAAAACTTAAACATTTTTCAAGTTTAGCGTCCTCTCTGCCCGCATCAATCCCTTTTTTTTTTTTAATTTTAAAAATATTGTCGATGTTGATGTAAATAAAAAAAAATCTTTAGTGTTTTTTTTATTTAGACACACAAACAGTCCTCCAAACAACAACAAGAACAAAACCTGTTGAATCGGAAGTGAAAAAAAAGTTACATATACATTTTTTTTACATTAGAATAAAAAAAAGAACATAAGCCTAATTTTTACAAATATTTTTTATTATCAGGTCGCAATGAATATGTGTGTTTCTATTACCCTTGAGGTATGTTGAGGATTTGTGATGTCATTAATAGTTGAGAGATTATTGAAAAAATGCGTCACTGAGATTTATTTCCAAGAGAAACAAATACATTTTACAAATTAAAGGTATTTAATATAAAATTTTTAATTTTTATGCGATATTATTTTTCATAACCTCTAAAATTTTTATGTGATAATAATTTCCATAATCTTTAATTTATTATTGTTTTATGGTTGCAGGATTTAAGAATTGCGGAAAAATACATTAGAATAAAAAAAAAAGACCAACATAAGCCTAATTTTTTTACAAATATTTTTTATTATTAGGTCGCAATGAATATGTTACAACAAATCAATTATCGCCATTAGATTATTATATATTCTGGTGTGATCATCGTTTTCTTCGGGTTCCAATTCAAAGTGTATTTCGGAATAGCAACTTTCACACCAACTCCTCTGACTCTGGTATACCATATATATTAATGCACAGGCTTCGACGGTAGGTATGTGTCGATAATCGCAAAAATCAAATTTGACAAATTTGATTTTGGATTTTTTTTCAAAAGTTATAAAAGCGTCTTTGCAAGATTCACAAACCATCAACAGAAATGTTCGGGTCATCACTATATAGTGTTTTTCCCATAAATAATAGCTATAATGCTCA